GGAGAGCAGCTAGAAATTACCTTCTGAAACCTTAACGTTGATTATTGTACAAGTTGTGTACCAGCACAAAGCTACTGCACTAATGATATCATAGCACTATTGGTCATCAAGATCATCAGTTGTGGGAGAGCAGCTAGAAATCCCTTTCTGAAACCTTAACTGCGTTGATCATATATTGTACAAGTTGTGAACGAGCTCTAATCTACTAAAAGAAAAAAGGTAAACTATCGATTTTTAAACTGAAATGATTATTGAGTCTAAATAGTCTTTCCCTTTTTCAAAACCCACTACGGTGTTTTTCCGCTCTCATTTTTCAACGAGCTTCTCGATATAACAAGTCTTTGATAGTGATATATCCTTCACTCTACAGAAGAGTTTTTCCTGTGATCTCGTTTTTTATCATTTATTTTTCATAATTCGTCAAGGAAATAGGTTTCCAGTACAATGGACCAGAATAATTCAACTCATGGCAATACAACACTGCGATGGGCATCAGGACTACTGACAGCTCATACTAAAATAGCCTTGTATTCTATTCTACTCGTTTGGTCCCTACTTGCTAACGTACTCGTCATTGCTGTCGTGTATTGCAATCAAAACTTAAGAACAAATATGAACTACTTGATTGTCAATATGGCTGTATCTGACTTGGTCGGTCCCTTGATAACGCTTCCATGGGCGATCGCCACGCAGAGCTTACGCCCCGCCGAGTGGTTAGTGAAGGGACCCTTTGGTGATGCACTCCGTAAACTGGTTCCTTTCCTCTCTAACATATCACCTTTAATATCATCCATCAGTCCGATCGCCATTACTTTCCAAAGATTCATCGCTGTTGTCTATCCAATTCGAAGGCAGTCCTTAAGCCTTAAATCCAGATGGATTTTGATCGCTGTCATTTGGATCGTAGCTATGGCACCCAATCTTCTATACCTTGGCGTCTATCGTTTGACACGTGAAAGGGGCTATACTATGTGCATTGATTCCTTGCCACTCCCATTTGACCGGGTTACGACTCAACTTATAGTCATTTCTATAGTACTAACGGTGGGCTTTGTCATTCCTCTGATCACAATCATAATCTTATATTCCATCATATACTATACACTACATAAGAGCTTGAAGAATGTTATGAATTTGATAGAAAAAGAATCGATCCGTTCATGACAGCGAAGAAACAGACGAATATTCAGGATGTCATTAACCATTTTGTGACTTTTACAATCTGTTGGTGTCCTTTGACTATATTCTATTTGGTGGTATTGGCCTTCAAAAAGCCTTCAAAGAATATATTACAGGAAATGCTTTTTGTACTTCAGTATTTGTTGCTTCTTCTAACGGCAATAAATCCATGCATCTACTTTGTGTTTTTGAGAGACTTTAGACAAGGACTTAAAACTCTTTGCTTGAGGAAACCTCCATCAGCGGAACAGAGGAGATAGTAACCAAGTCTCAACAATTACACCACCTCGACTCAAAACCACTTCAGTCTAGGATGAATATCAATACTAGATGCACCAGAACACCAGGTGGAGATAGTAGCCAGGATCCAACACCACCTCACATCAATACCACTTCAGTCTAGGATAAGCATCAACACTAGATGCACCAGAACACCAGGTGAAGATAGTAACCAGGACCCAACGTGTACACCACCTCACATCAATACCACTTCAGTCTAGGATGAACATCAACACTTGATGCACCAGAACACCAGGTGGAGATAGTAACCAGCACCCAACATGTGC